TAAACACATTCACCTTTTCCCCACCGCTGCCCCACTCGACGGCTGTTATGGGATCGAGAAAGTGGATGGGCTTGATTGGTTTTCGTAGTCGAATAACATCTACGATTATGAGTGTAGTAGTGGGGCATGGGGTGGGGGATGATATATGGGAATCACACCATGGCTGGTGATGAAGGTGAGGGCCGTATCGTGACCTCCTCTCCTTCAAGGAAGTGGGCAAAGATCGCCTGAATTTCGAACTTATTTCCCACGTCAAAGTTCAGCCTGGTAAAAGGGTTTTATTCTGTAAGATCGACTGAAAAAACTTGGCTGGTCATTCTCGAGCTAGGAAATAGTTGAGAAAAAGAAAAGAAAAAGAAGAGAACATGGAACATGATCGTCAAGAGAAGGCAGAGCTAGCTATGACGTGGCCCCTCTGAAAAACATACCTCAGCTAAAGAAACAGCCCAACGCAAACAGCCCATTGGCTTGAGGCTTCAATTTGAAGGTATACAATTCTGAAAAATGGCATGTTTATCTCCAAAGGGAGTGACCACGATGGCAGGAGGGCGGTGCGGTTTTGATGACGTCACTGGGACGCCAATGGTGGGACTAGACCAGTCAGCTGGCGTTGTGTCGGAACGCCTCTTTACGCGATTCCACCAACGACGTTCAGTGACCTTGCAAGACCTCCGTCCTCCACCCATCGTGATCACTGCCTTTAAGCATCCGACAAAGTTGAAGTGGAATGAGGGAAACACGAGGAAAAATTCAGAAAACGACGTTGACATGAGCAAGAAGTAGAAATTTGACACCATCATGAAGATGACATTGGAAAAACTAGGGCATTGTTGCAACGCAATCGCGAAAGAGCAAAAAAGAACACTTTCGTTGTAACATCATCTGTACGAGTAAATATGGCCACAGTCATGAAGATGCATTCATTTTTGGTAAGTTCTCCACCGATCATTTCCAAGGAACTTGCGATAAATGTGTAGTTGGGACGGCAACGCTAAAACTGAAGACATAATAGTGATCAGGAGCATGAACACCCTCTGTAGAAGTTCTAACGAGATAGTCTCCAGCTTCTCTCTTCTTCTTGTAACCTCGGCATCGTTCTCCTTATTTGTGTTAGTTTCTTGTGCCG